CCCCAAAACCCCAAAACCCCAAAACCCCATGTGATTAAAATAAACAGCCATATTGGATAATCTATAGCAAATAATATAATTCAATTTTTAATTGCATCATCAAGAGATGAGATTAGCTGATATAAGGCTATACTGAATAAAGCACTTGCTACCACAGTTAAAATAATGAACCCAATAGCCATGCCAATCTTTTTATATTTAAATTTTTTCCCCTTTGAAATCTTGTTTAAAAAGTAAATATTTGCTATATCCTATTAAGAACTTAATGAATATACGAGTGATTAGGTAAGTTAAAGAGGCAGGATATCCGAAAAATGAGCAGAGCAAAAGAATAATACTTGCGCTAGTATTTGCGATATATCCACTAATATGAGAATTAATTTTAGACAAATTTTACTTTGATAAGGTAGTTTTCATAAATTTTTTCCTATATTTATGTAAATATCGCTTGCCAAGAGTTAAAACCTAATGTAATTTAATTCCTGAAAAATGCGTACTCCTAAAATAAGACTAACCAGTCCAATCGCCAAACCTTAATAAGCCTCTTCATCTGAAATTGCCGTATTTTTATTGAGCAGAAATATCATCGCAGCACATGGTGCCGATACATTCACTTCATTTGATCCATGAGCAAAAGCCAATAAACAAGTGCTAATAATCATAGGTACTTTGAAAAGCTTATCAACTATAAATCAAATTCTGTTAGTTACATACAGGCTGTAAGCCTAAAATCATACTTTTTTATTTGTTTTTTTCACTGTGAATGTATACTTTTGAGTGTGAATTTCTTAACTACTCATTGCGAATCATTCTTTACTATAACTACTCTTCATTTTCCTCTTGTTCATTCTACCTGTTACGCTCAAATGATGGAGAGGGAATTTATTCTTGAGGATATTCGCTCATATTCTCACTGCAGTTTATATCAAATCTATCTTATTGATACATTTAAATAGTTTTAAACTATTGCTTCTATTATCCTCTATGCTCCTGGTTTTAGGTCATTACTTTTTATTGATCTTCATCACTTCCATTATCCTTACTGACTTCAAGATAAGATTCTTATTCATCTATTTGATCTGGTAGTTTTGTTCTCTCTAATTGATAATTTTGTCTTTATGTGAGTCTTCTCATTACATTCTATTCATCTCCAAAGTATGCTTTAAGCAAAGCCTTAGAACTCCTATTTCCAAGATTAATAAACATATCATTAAACTTATAAAGAAAGTATTACCAGAATTTGAGACTATCGACAATATCTGTACAAAGCCGAGTATTCTCTTCATCTTTATGAGCCTTTCTAATCATATAAAGTCTAGAAAGAACAAGTAAAATTATAAAACTTGGCAATGTCACTACAATGCTGATCAAGAAAACTAAACTAAATTATTTTTAATTTAATATGTAATTACAAATAACTAGCGAATGCTTTTGAATCAAGATTTTTAGCTGTTAGTACACATAATATAAACGAAAATATGAAACTAATCGAGTAGGGAGTAATCTTAATGACTCTTTTCCTCGCATCTTATCTCTCGAATATAAATTTTTTCATTGCTTTATGCCTAAAATGTTTCTTATTAAAAGTTCTTTAATTTATGATTGGTTAATTTTACTTACAAGATATATGTTAGCAAAACTGATAAAACTGGGGTAAATATCCATATGAGACTCTCTCCTATTAGCCAATCTGCAGTAACGATAGAAATTTTATTAGGATTTTTCCGTTCATCTGATTCAATAGAATTAGCAGAATTACCAGTATTAGTATTCTACTCTTCAGTTTCAAATCCAAATACAAATAAAGAGGCGCCTGTCATACCACTAAATGCAATATACGTGCTTGATAATGGTAATGCAAATATCGTGACATTTATCATCATTAAACATGTAGCCATCTATATATTATAGCAAAATTAGATTGCTTTAAATCCTTACTAACGATGATCCAAGAGATATAAAACCTTTTTTCCTGAGATTTTAAGCCCCATATATCTGTGTAAAATTGATTGTATTTTTGATAGTTTATAGGAGAATAAACTTTGACAGAATTACGTTTCCAAGAGCCTCAAACAAGACAGAGATCAAAAGCTATGGAGGAAATATTTTAATCACAGACTATAAATTACACAATTAGAAAGTGATAGTCTTTTACTAGTGTAGGGAATTCCTATGACATTAGCCAAGGCAGTTCCACCAATGCAAAAGCCAGTGACTGCTGCAAATGCAAAGCTTGTGTATGCAAAGTTTTCTTCTTCACCCATCACTCATTAATATATTAAATCAATATTATAATTTAATTTTAATTAATATTTATATTATAAGTTAACAGGACTACTCAGATTCATACATTTATCAATCAAATTAATTTAAAAGCGTTCAATAAGTCAATTATTGTCAATATATCAATTTACACACATCACATCAAATTATCCTTTGCAAGAATGCTTAAATAAAGCTAATCATTTAATAAAACCTACGCTTATACATCCTCTCATTGTGCCTGAGGTATCAAACATCCTGATTACATACCTAAAATATTTGTTATACACGAATGGGTAGAATTCTACTCCTATTCCATAAACAAAAGAGTTTTTTGCTGATGATGGCTTATTCCATATTGAATAGGGAACCCCAAGAGCATTTACTCCCGGATCACTGTGGATTTTTACTTCATCATTTCCATCTTAGAATACGATTGTTGTTTTACTAATCAGGTAATTTCTTGAGTTGAAATTGGTTTCCATGTAGAAGTAAATATAGTAGCCATTTCTGTGAGCTATCTCAAACCAAGTCAATCTGAAATTCGATGATTAACACACATCAACGTTTACTTCACGCAGCATTCCTACACTCTTTATCTATGATTAGGTGATATCGAAATCCATTTTGATATAGTTGGGTATTTTTGTCAATGGTGCAGTATCACTAAATGGCGTTTTATATCTAGTTTCATAAATCTTGGCTTTCTTCTATTCATCTGTCATAGCAATTTACTAAGTTTTAAGAACAGCAAAATCCACATTTGCTCTGGTTAATTGCGAAAAAAGAACGAAGAGCAAAGTTATCATAGGTAATTTTTTTAGCATGATGATTTTTATTAGCTTTTATTATAATTTTATGAATAGATTTACTTGATTTTGGGGTAAAATTCCTAATTTAGACAGAAATTTGCTGATTATCTTGGCTTTTGGGGTTTTGGGGTTTTGGGG